TGATTTGTCTACTCTGCATTAAAAAGAATTATTGAATTGATTTGCACAATTTTCGTTACTCAAAATTGTTTTGTAATACCAAAAAATCATCTGATTGATGATCACTTGACTAAATAATAAGTTGAACAAAAATTTACATTTGCAAAACTTAAATTATTAAATGTAAAGAGGTGTGAAAAAACATATTTCACTAATAAAAAACCTATTTCTCATATATATGGAATTTTTAACATATATTATTAAAAAGTAAGTATATTTTAATAAAATATAAAGTAAAATAAAAATTTATATAGTCTTAGTAGCTATAAATGTTTATAAAAGTATAATAAAAATATCATATAAAAGATGGTATCATAATAGATATTTTCAAACAATAAAAATAATTATTTTATATTAGAATTTGTATTACCATCTTTAGACGCAAATATATCAAGATTCACTGATCTGTTTTCTATAATTTTAGGCTCGTTGGAAAGCCCTTGTACTGGACTTTATAGGCGAAAAAAGAGCTCGCCAATTGAATAATTAGATCCAGAGATATTTACGTTTAAAGTTGAGGTATAAACTTTTTAACATGCTTAAACACAAATATCTTGGGATTTACTGATCCGTTTTTTATAAATTTAGGCTCTTCGGAAAGCCTTGATCTGGTCTATATGGGCGAAAAAAGAGCTTGCCGATTGGATCATTAGATCTGGAGATATTTACGTTTAAAGTTGAGATACAAATTTTTAATATATATAGTAAATGCTAAGAATTATATTAATTTAAAAGAAATATTTACCAACTTATAGTATAATAACATTAAATAAAAGTTTTTTAATACTCACCCCCAATTTACTGTATATTATATAGTATTTTGTATAATAAAAATGTAATAAAATCAATATTTTAATTAAAGGTAGACAAATCAGCCTATATGTTTAAAGATCTTACTATATATAGATAAATTATACCTAAAAAAGGAAATATTATATTAAGTTATTATTATAATTTTTTTTCCTTTTTAAATTAATTAACCAATAGAATTACTGGTAAAATTACTACAGTGCGGTACCTCTATAATAGGTACCTCTTATATCTTGTGATCTAATGGTCAGAATTTTATAAAATTTTAAAATTAGATAGCTTTTAAAAAGATAAATACATTAAGCAAATAAAAAAATTTTCTCAATTTTTTTGCTGACATAATACAAAATCACATGACTTAAAATAAATTTGATTGGTTAATGCAATACTTAATGTTAAATAGAATTATGCATAATTTTTTATATATAATTTATAATTATTTAAAGTAATTTGATTAAGTATATTATCAGGATCTTTTCTATGGGATTTATATTTTTTTAGCAAGTTTTCCTGTAATTCCTTTTTGAGAAATAGGCATAATATAATTTGTAATAAATAAAAACTACCAAAATTTTTTTTGATTTTTTTTCAAAATTTTTTTAACAGAGTATGGGTAAGTTTATAAGCTAAAATGATTTGTTTGAATAAGCATTATCAAATGATTATTTTTTTTTTATGTTACACAAAAATCACTTATTCTCAAATTTTTCCCATCATAATAAATTACCTGAACTTCAAACTTATGTAACACTAGCAAAATTTATTATTTTTTAATCTAACCTGATAAGTTTAAAAGCTCTTGATATGCTTTATTAAAATTATCAGTTAGAATTTTAAAATATTATTTTTTGCTAATGTGACATTTTTTTGAAAATGTCACATTATAACTATAAAATTGGGTTGGTTATAGAAGTACCGCACTGTAGTAAATTTGAAATTTTTTTCAAAGACTTCTATTAGAAGTAAGCAGATTTTTGTAGAATCTGATATTAATATCTTTTGGTTAATAATATATATGTAGACTTTCATTATTTTTATAAAAAAAATAATCAACTATCTGCAAAATTGCAAAATTTTACAAAAAAATAAAAAAAAATGGAAATCTGCTAATTTACAGATCTACAAATTTACACTTTAAAAACTTTTCCAATAATAAATTTTTTAAAAATTTGGCTAAGTTAACAATAATGAATCAATAGTAATTACTATATATTAAATTGATTTATTTACTTTTTATATATTTTTAGAATATATATTTTATATTTTTAAATATTAATAAATTTATTATATATAAAATATTTTATAATAATTGTAACACTATTTATACAAATTATATTACCTAATTTTGACATATGTAAAATTTATATAATCATGATTAGAAAGATTATTATTAAAAGTAATGAAAAAGAAAAAGTTTTTTTTTAATTATAAGAAAATGATATACTTATTCCAATTCTATAAAACTATTTCAAATTTGCAATCAGTTTTCTTATGATAGTTATAATAAGATAGCATTACCTAATAATTTTTTTTTTTTTTAATACTTTTTAGGAGTACTATCTAAATGCTAAGGTGAACCAGATAATGAATCCCCTAACCACCTTATAGCAATCAACTAGGGGCACGTCAGGACACGATATAAAGCATTAAACTCTACTCTTATAAGCAAAGGTGGAGTAACCATTCCCCTATACTTCCATATTACCATACTAGGTTAGATGTATTTTAGTCATTTTAACTAGACATTTCAGTATAGTACATTAAGTATAGTAAGAGTCCAAACTCCATTTTTTATAGTTCAGAGACAATCAGCCTGCACAGGTAGATATAATGGAGCTAACATCTAGAAGGCTTTTCATAGTAGTTTTAACTGGTATAGTCTTATTTAAAGCCCACTATAGGTTGTGATTATCATTCCAGTCAACCATAGTTTTTAATCCCCAATAGTATAGTAGTGACTATCAGAACAGTAAGCTCTAAGGGTATAGGATCCTCCCTATATTATAAATGACTTACCTCAGCCTAAGGTTGCCTGCCTAAACCTCTTCAAAATTCTACGATTAGTTTCTCTAAAATTTTACTATAGTTTTATTATAGTTTTGGCAAGATTTTGGCAGTTTCAGCATTTATAATAAGTTTCATCAGTTTCACTTTTCTCTAGAGTTTCGCCAACTTTTTAATAAAACTTTTATATAATTTCAGCAAAGTTTCACCATTTCGACATTTTGCTAACTTGCCAAAACCCTCTAGTTTCTTCAGCAACCTTATCTCAGCCACCTAGGGTTTACTAGCCAATACATCAAATATGCTGAAGAATCGAACTTCACCTCAGAACCTTATATATCTGTAAACCAATAAACATCAAAAGTTTAAACCTATTAGAAGGTAAACTACCGCAAAGATATTGCACATAGGACTTTACCATCTATGAACCCTATCTAATATGCAAAATTCACAATAAAGTTTAACACATCCTTAGTAGTATTGTAAAGTAACTACCAAAACAAGAATCTACCTAAATAATATGCAAGCAGTGACTATCTAGACAGGACAATTGACTTACTATTGCTTCATTTTTAGAACAGAGAACACCATAACTTTCTGTTAAAATGTGCAGTATACCCTATGAAAAGGTTTTATACTTAAAATATACTTAAAATTTTATTAAAATATACTTAAAATAAGTATCAATTTTAATTTGTGATATACTTATAATATACCTAAAATATGTCTAAAATAGTCTTAAAATATACTTTTAATATACTTGTTTTTTGCCCAAGTACTTAAATTATACTTAAAGTATAGTAGATAGATCAAGTAGGCATCACTATAATTATAGTGATGCCTACTTGATCTATCTACTTACATTATAGTGATGCCTACTTATAGATATTAATACCTACTTACTTATTTTTACGTGTCTATGCCCCTTCTGATGCTTTATTGCTACCCATCTGTTTTCACTGGTCTGTGACTGTTTGGTTGCTAAACAGGGCGGAGGTTTGTTTTTCCATTTTGAAGCCTTTTAACAATTGTATAGGAGTAAAGTTGGGTTTTCCACTCTATGACCCTTTTGGTTGCCATATTTGAGGTCGAGGGTGTGGCCCATTCGCTGGCCTTTTAAGTTGCTGAAATGGTGTAAAAAAATCATCGGGTGGCGCAGTTAATTTGCGGATCAGATTTTGGCCGGCACTATGGCATAATTTCTGGCAGATCTTTAGGGAGGAATATCTTGGCTTCCTGTGATTAGCTTCGTGCGGTTTTGTGGTCATTTGAAAGAGGACGTTGAGAGCTTTCAAATGATGCTAAGATCGCATGAATTGGATGCCTGGATGCCGAGTTATTACGTCTCAAAGTTTTAGAAAAAAATATGGATTATAGTGCTAAGCAAAATTAAGCGAATCTATACTGCGCCTTACTGTGCCAGTCACGTGATACTGTTCTGGTGCCGGAACACCCTCACATAGTTGCTTCCCTCTCAATTGCCATTTCTTGATTGCCGGATGAGGCACAAAATGCCGAATTTGCAATCCATCTATTTGCCGAAGAAATTTAACAATCCATTACCTCACTTTTTGATTGCCAGGAATGAAGCACGAAGTGCCGAATTGGTGACCTAGATGTGCAATCCTGCCTTCCATAACCCTTTTGATTGCCAAGGATGAGGCACGAAGTGCCGAATTTGTGCCCATTCTTGCAATCCCGCCCTTTATATGCCCTTTCTGATTGCTGTGTGAGGCTCATGCGAAGTGTCGAATTGGTTCAGGCTATATCGCTTTCATATCTTTTTTCGTGTATTCTCCTGAACCTTTCTGCCTTTCCAGTCTCTTTCCTGCCTATCGGTGGTAGGCCACTCAAGTGAAATTTCTCTTTTCTTTCCTATATATAATTCTGCTTGAGTGGGTTACCATAAACTTGCTTGTTTTCGCCTTCTAGCTCTTGTTCCTGTATAGTTTCTACTCTGGGATACTTTGGAGTACTACTACATCGATTACTTTTAGGCATTATTATATTGATTACTTTGGGGTACTACTACTGACCCAGTATTTTGCCCACGATAGCAAGCATATTCGCTCAAAATTATATAGAATTTTTATTTTGAACTTTGCTAGTTTCTCTGTTATTTTATACTGCTTTCTTGCATATACACCATGCTTCTTGCGCAAAAAAATGCTGGGCCTAACCCCGGAGTAATAAAGCTTTTCTCAAGATTAACTGACCTTAATTATAAGCCTGGTCATAATAATCATGTGTATTTCCAAAACTTGTCTATCAGTAAAGATGATGTCGCTCTTCTAGATACTTATAATCCTAAAGAGATTTTAAATAAATATATAGTTCGGGTTGCAGGAAAGGGCTTTACAGTGGTCGATCATCCATCCGAAGTTTATGGGTTTTCTGATGCTCACGAGTGCATTGATGGGAATTTGCCTCTCTGTCTGGTTCTGGATATTGATGCGAGGCAAAAGCCCGATCCCATGAATCCTAAATTTCCTTCCTTAGATGAGAGTAAAATTTCTCGTGAAGATTTATTATCCAAAATCTTAATTGCCTGTGTCGATATTATAAATACTGATTTAAAGCATTTTGCAATATTAGATGCTTTTACTTTAGCCAGCTCGTCTAATGCTAATAAATGCAGTTGGCATATTGTATATAAATATGCACGGTTTATTGACTACAGAGATCTTAAGGGTTTTGTGGAAAAAGTCGCTGATAAGGTTGGAAAACCATACTCAAAGTTTATTGATATTGGACTTTATAAATATCGCTTTAGTCTCCGGCTCCTTGGATCAGCAAAGGAAGATAGAGTTAAAAGACCTGCGATTTCTTCAGTTAAGAAAGGATATCACAAGCTAGAAGATTATTTAGTTCAGCCTAAGTGGAACGCTTCTGAAATCTGGCCACGGACCTTTTCTTCTGAGAAAGAAGAGAAGAAATTTCAGCCCATCGAAGATGAAACCGCCTTAAGTAACGGAGCCAGCTTAGTTATAGCAAAATATGGATGGCTTGAGATCGGAAAAATTGGGAATGGATTTGTCCACTTTCAAGCCCAATTATATGAAGTATATCCTATTTGTGAAATCAAACACGAGAAGGATCAGTTATATGGCTTTCTTCGAAGTAATGGCTGTTTTGTACTCAAATGCTATCGGCAGAAAAATTATAAACCAGATCATAAGGGATTAGCGTTTGGAAAAGTGATCGAAATTTCTGCAAAACCTAAG